AAAAAAAAAAAAAAAAAAAAAATAAATAAATAAATAAATAAAAGTGTTTTTAATAAAAAGCATTTTTTTGTGGAAATGAATGGACTACAATAGCGCATGCTTGGATTAGCTTTCTTCCCATTCACACTCCTGTTTTTCCTCAACAAAACAAAATAAAACAAATGTGATGGTTACATCCCAGATGACGAGATTTCCAATTTCCATGTATATGAAAGAGTTTATGTGTCAATTTTTTTTTAGTTCGTATTTTCTATATATGTTGATAGATTTCACATATGATTATTAAAAGTATTTATTGTTTAATTTAACATCCATATGGTATATGTAAATAAATATATACTTTTCTCATAATAAAAACTAAAATAATTGTCAATATTAATTAAGTAATAATAGAATTATTTACATAAATATATATTTATATATCAGGTCTATTATATAATATGAATTACAAACACATATTATACAAAAAATAATATTTTATGTATTTTTTTTATTAACACCCATGTAATACAGGTTGCACAGATATAATTTTCAATCACAAACGGTTTTGCAAAGATTTTTTATTCAAAAAAAAGAAATTCTGATTAATTTAGCTGAAACCGCCAAAAAATAAAAAAGAATGGTCTGATTTGTTTTTGCAATTATTATTCAAAAGCGTGTGTGTGTGGTTGATGTTTAGCGGGCACAAAGCACGCCATATTTTGACAAATCCTAAACTAAATTCTTGTTTACAAAAAACCTTCATTACTTTTGATACAGACAAGTTGGCCATATAGAATCCCATAAAAGCTCACTCACCAAATGCCACTTGTGATGGCAAAAATTAGTTCAGAACAACTTGTGATTCTGTTCCTTTTTAAAGAATGTAATTAGAGAGAGACCCAGATAATTTTCTCTCACCAGATAAAATTAGAATTTTATTTTAACTATTGACAATCAATCAACATAATACACTGCCAGTGAAAAATGTTTGCATTTTACATCTTCAGATGATATTACAAAACAAGGGGAAAAAAAAATGACAGAAAATGAAAAATCAACAAGCTACAAGAGAAAATGCAGAGAAACATGTTGGTTCTTCTGTCATCTCTTTACTATGAAATTATGAAGTTACATTAAAGTCATTATTCCCACAGCCCACATAAAGCCAATAATACAAATAAGTAAAAATAAAACAAGATGAAAGAAGGAAAAGAATATAAAATTTAAAAAAAAAAAAATCTTCTTGAAAGTTTAGTTCAGCCTATAATCTTACCACTAATTCTTGAACCAAATTATGTGATTTTGGTTATGATCCAAGAACCTGATCATTTTTTTTGTTCCCTTTATAATATCTACCCTTAAATAATAAATAAAATATAACAAACAAATATCTGAAAAAAGAATACCCAATCAATCCATCCATCCAAACAGAGTCAATCAACCCCAGATTCATTCAGGCCACCATTTGCTCCTGCTCCATCATATACATTTGCTCAACCCATTGAGCCGCCGTGTTCAACGACACATCCTTCACCAGCGAATTAACCCACGAAACATCGGGCCCATCACCCTCCAACGGGCCCACCACCTGCCCACTCCGAATCCCAAAAGACGCAGACTTTCTCAGCTTATTCGCCTCCTCCCCACTAAACCCCCAGTCCAGCCTCCCGTCCGGCGAACCCCAGCCCGATGAAATCACGGTGGGTCCAACTGGGCCCGGCGACCCAGAAATCCCCCTCGACCCAGCCCGGTCAATGAAGCTCTGACTTCGTTGTTTTGCAAAAGCTGCCGACCTCGACCCCATAACGGCCGCCGCCACAGCTGCGGACGAGTCGAACCCATATCTCGAGGGGTAGCTCGAACGAATGTGGGCCCCACTGCTTATCTTGGGTGACCCAATTCCAAACACGCTCTCGAGGCTCGTCGGCTTGAAGTCGAGCTCGAGGTCCCGTGCGCTGACAGCTGTCCTCAACCGGCTGCTGCCCGACAGATGCAGGGGAGGAGGAGTGAGGCGGGCCATAGGAGACGAGCAGGTGACAACAGAAGGCGAGACGGGCGGGCTAATCGGGCCCGATGAGGGAGAAGGGAGGCCCGACCCAGTTGAGGCGTAAAGCGGGCGGAGCTCTTCGGGCCTGTGGGCGAAAAAACAGACCCTTCGAGAGCAGCCCGTCTCGTCTTTACAGAGTCGGGTTCGGTATTGGGCCGGGTGGAGCCACGACTCGAACACGCCGTGCGCATATTCACAGCTGTCCCCTTTTGGGCAGCAGCCTTTCTTGAATTCCGGGCAAGGGACAGGAGTGTAGCCGTGCCTTCGTGGGTCCCGCCGCCTGGCGTTCTCGCCTGGGTGGGCGAACGGGCACTCAGTCCAGTCGTGGGAGTAGGCTCGGGAGCAAGGCCGGACTTTGAAGCTGTACATTCGGAACTCGTCAGTAACGTAAACCCCCTCGTTGATGTCCGGCAGCAGAGGAATCTCCCTCTTTTCGGGCCCGGGCCCACCAGGGATGGGCCCGAATCTTGGCCCAATAACGTCCCTTGGACGAAGCCCGGCTGAGTCTGTGGCTTCGGGATCGGCTGAGGCGGAGATCAGGAGGTCGACGGCCGGCCAAGATCCGGCGGAGGAGGCGCAGTGGAGAGGGGTGGCGCCGTCGGAGCCACAGGATTGGCTGACGTCGACCTTGCCGGAGTCGATTATGTACTTGAGGACACGTGTGCTGTTGTAGGAGGAGGATATCATGAGAGGGGTTCTGAGGTGGAGGCCCATCTTCTTCGAGCCGGAGGCTCTGCAGTACCAGAAGCTCGCCTCGTTGATGTCCGAGCCGTTTACTTCTATCTCGTGGATAAAACCGGTTAAGTCGTCGGCGGCGGCGAGTTCAAGCAGGCTCGAGCAGGTTTTGACCTCATGTGACAACAAGGTTTTCTCCATCTTCAGCTGAGAAGGGTAGCGATTACTTCTTGGTCCAGTGCACATCAAATGAACCTGAGGAGAAAGATCAAGAATTGGAGTTGTTGTTCAGGGAACTCAGATTTAGGAGGCGAAAATTTAGATATCTGAACCCCAAATACCAAATAATCAGCCCATACCCAACAAATTATATGACAAAAGGGGGGAGGAATAAGCCCACATAATAAAAAAGATTCAAACTGTGTGACAAACAGAAATGGAAAAACCAAATCCAATACAATTGAACCCCTCGAACACCAGCAATAAGAAAAACGAGTAAAAATTCAATCTTTGAGGCATACAGCACGAAACAAACCAAATTCAACACATTTCAACGCCTCGAACACCAAATAGTAGATGAAAAAACAAGAAAAGATATTAATGGAAAAGAAAATACCTTGTGATGTAAAAGGATAAGTCCCTTGTTGGACTTGGGAAGACTTGGAATTGAAAGAATTATTGGGATTGTAAACTGAAGTTGTGAGGAAACTCGGCTACCTGGATATATGTGTATTTATATAAATGTATGTGGATTTTGTGCTGGAGATGGGTGCTTTGAGGAGGAAAGTGAGGGGAAAGTGTGACTTTTCTTCTTGCTTCTTGCCTTTTTTTTCTTCTGTGAGAAAGTTCACACGGGTCAAAGGTCAAAATAAGGGGTTGGGCCTTACGCTGTGTCACACCACTTCCATGGCCAACTGGTAAGCAATTTGAAGGACAAATGCAAATTCAAGTGGAATGTAGATGGAAATTGAAATTCAGATGCAAATGCAGTGGGTAACTGGGTCCCGCATGTTGTGTGGAAGACTCTTTTTTTTATGTTATTGTTACCCTTAAATAGGGGTTTTTTTTTTTTATGTTTTTTTTTGCAGACGATACACTTGTTTTTACTCAAGCTGATAATAGTCAAGCCATTATCCTATTAAATATCCTCACTAAATACCAGCAGATAATATGGCAGAGAGTTAACCTTGACAAATCCACCATATTCTTCAGTAGAAATACCCTCTTGCCTGTTCAAAGCTCAATCTGTCAAACTCTTTTGGGCATCAAAGTTCACACTTCTTCTAAATATCTGGGTTTACCGTTGGGCATCGGAAAATCCAAAATTGACACATTTTCTTTTGTTGAAGATACTGTGAAAAAAAGAGTGCTAAATTGAAAAAACAACTTTCTTTCTTTTGTAGGAAAAGAAGTTCTCTTAAAATCTGTCCTTGGAGCACTACCCTTATATGCTATGTCTAGCTTTCTGTCACCCAAGACCTTGAACAAGAAGCTGGTTCAACACTTTGCTAACTTCTGGTGGGGTTCTGGAGAGCCTGACAAAAAAAGCATTCACTGGAAGGCCTGGAGAATGATCACTTTGCCTAAAGCCAAAGGGGGTTTGGGATTCTTAGACCCGCACTTAATAAACAAGGTCCTAATTGCTAAGCAAATTTGGCGAATTCTCACTGATCGCGCGTCGCGTCACGGTCAAAATATAATATTTATATTTTCCTTAACCGACTTCTACCAACTAGTAGTAGTAGTGAGCAAGGGTCGATCCCACAGGGAGTGTGAATCAAATCGTGAATTTTTTCGTATTAATTGAATTATAAAAGCAATAAAAGAGGGGGAGATTTTGAATTAATAACTCAACTAACTAAAATCCTAATGAAGGAAATAAAATCTAAACAATGAAAATAAAAATAAAAATAATAAATGAAGAGAACTTTCTAGTTCACGGTTCCGTCTACACCCTCGCCTGACTCGTCTAATCAACTTTGGAATCAAATCTCGCTATCTTATAAAATTACTAGCCCTAGGCAACGACACGGTCTGTTACCCAAATTTTTCCTTATTTTTAATTTACCCGCGAGACGCTCGACGATTAAACCTGACTTCTTGTACAGTCCAGAAAAACGTTTTCAAGATTTAATATAATTAGCCGCTTTACGAATTAGAAAAATAGGCTAGACTAATTAGTGAACTCAACCGCGTTCGTTCACTTAATTAGGCCATGTTATCCCAGGTAGTTACCATCTTCCGGTTACCTCTTATGAATTAAACACAACAACAATTGCGGATTGCAGGTCTAATTCAGATGTAGATATAAAAAGCCTAATCTAGGTGATCAATCTAAACAAAACTAACACATCATGGTGAATTATTCAAAATAACACAAACAATTCCAAAAAGATATTAAAATCATCAACCATATAATCAATCAAAACATAGTCAATCGTAGGGTTCGACTTCTCCGGAACTAGAAATAAAAACTACTCTAACATAATAATAAAAATAAATAAAAAGATAAAAGAGAGAGATTAATTATCTCCCTCGTGTGCGGTGCCACTTCCCTCCGCGATTGATCGGGCTCCTTCTATCTGTCCGCGTCTTTTTCCTCCTCTGCGCAACTCTTTCTGTTTTTTTCTTCCAGGCGTACGTGTAAATAAATCCCCCCTGATTCTTTTTGCGTGTGGCGTAAAAATATGCCCTGATGGATACGTGGATCCCTCAAACTAAATTCCACTTATTCATTTCCAAGAGTCCTCTCAATGTTTAATTGTTGCTTTCTAGTAAATAATTCTTTCCATGTTGTTGCGTAATGCCCTTTCAAGTGGCTGAGTGAATTCAAATAAGTCCTCAAGTGGGCCCTACTAAAAGACAAACTAGGCCCAAACTTATTTGACATATGTTGGGCCGAGTATGGACCACCCCCTTACTGCGCTGGCTGAAATTGGGCACCCCGTACTGTGCTGGATGAAATTTCTTTTAATGTCTCGCCGCCCATAAAAATAACCCAATAGTCTGAAAACAATACATAAAAATATCATAGCACTCAAATCCATCTAATAAATAAATAAGTCAAAAAACATATAAGTGCGATAAAAATTAAGCATATAAATATACGCTAATAAATATATAATATACACACTTTTTCCGACCAATCACTCACTAAACCCAACCTGCTTGTTAGCAAGATTCCCAGAGCAAGGTATTTTCATAATGTGAACTTCTTTGCTGCAGTCAGAAAACATAATAGTTCTTGGATGTGGAACTCATGGCTGGATGTCAGAAACTCCTTGCACAATGGATTCAGATATGCAGTCAGAAATGGATTCAAAATCAAGATTTGGGAGCAGCCGTGGATTCCTAATATTTCAGGTTTCAGACCTTCTAATCAGCAAAGGAGTGTTCTTATTTGGGTGCATGAATTAATAGACTCCACAAACAGAAATTGGGACAAAGAGCTGGTCTTGAATACTTTCTCCAGGCAAGAAAGTGAGGCTATTCTTAAATCAAAGGCTTGGATCCCTCACAGGATGATTTTTTGATTTGGGACAGTGGAAATAATGGAAAATTCACAGTCAAAGAGGTTTATGCTAAGCTGGTGGAGGAGAAATGGAATTTATTAGATGTGGCAGAAAATAGTAATGAACAAGTGGAAGCATCTAGAATGCGAAAAAGAAGTCGGAATCTAAAAACTAAAGGAAAAATCATGCATTTTATTTGGAGGTGTGCAGCTAACCTTTTACCAGTCAGTGACAATCTTTTCAAAAAAGGAATGCAATTAGACCCTATTTGCAAAGCTTGCGGTGAATCACATGAAACATTGGAGCACCTGTTCTTCCATTGCCCGAGGTCTCAATTAATTTGGAAACTCTCTCCTGTTCAGTGGGATGGCACTAACCTGGATCACAGCAGTTTCAAAAGATGGTGGACAGAGCTATGTAAAATCAGTGAGGCAGCAACTTCAGTAGCCAGACTGCAATTAACAGCCTATATTTTGTGGGTCATTTGGAAATCCAGGAATCATATTGTATTAAAAAGGAGAAAAGACCTGAAATAGATGTGGTTAACTGGGCCTGCTCAGAATGGAATGAATACTGCTCTATCTAAGTCAATCTCTAGGCTTGCTTTCTTCTTTGTATATTTTTTATGGTTGCTTTCTGTTTATTTGCTCAGACCTGGTTTTTTTATTTTCCTTGTATTGCGTGGGTTGTATAGAGTAACTAACTTCACCAGTTGTCAGTTGCTCCTTTTGTATGCATAGTAGCAGCAGGGATAAGAACATTGTTATGGTTTCAGTGCTTTAGTCACTGCCTGAGCAATGTATCTCATCTTTGTCTATCTTCTTTTGTTTCTTAGGGCACTTCTTTTTAGTGTACCTCTAGTCTATCCTTTGATAGTACTGTTGAGCTATTTAGCTCCCGGGTTGTAATCTCTTTTGAGCAATAATATCTATCGTTTCGGAAAAAAAAAAATAGGGTTACTGTGGTGATGGATAAGATTGTTGAACAGAATGAAGGACATGAATTTAGCTAGTTTTTATCCAATCATTTTTCTTTTTAACTCAGCTTTAATTTATTTTCACTATTCTTAATATTATCAAATCAATTTTAATTCAATTTTTAGATTGTATGCACTCGCATAATTTTAACTACTACTTATTTTCAATCACTTTTCTCGTGTTTTCACATCAAATCAACTCTACTCAATTTATTTTAAATATTATTTAATACAAACTCAAAATCCCATTCAAGCCTAATTCAACCACTATTTCAAAATTAACTATACTTAACCAAAAAACTCAATCAAAATCAATCAAAACTCCAAACACTCCTTAACTCGAGCTAGTTATGATTTATTGTTAGATTTTTTTTTTTTTTTTACATAATCTTTTTATAGCGGCTTGTTAAGGCTGAAGTTCAGCCTTTTAAAATTGGAGTTCAAATCGTGAATATTCATAAACGAGTTGAAATCGAGTTTGTTTATCAATTCATCTCAACTTGATAAAGGTTGGAATCCCATCAACTAGAGTATCATAAACTCGTGTAACAAGCTTGAAGTTCAAACTCTTAGGGCGTGATTAGTAACGGATTAAATTTGATTTTCATTGGATTCTAAGTTAAAGTGAGTTTTTTTGAATAAAGTTGATTGAGAAATTTGAGTTTTAATTAAATAATATTTAAAATGTAATAATTAAAGTTAATGTAATGTAAAAGTAGAAAAAATGTTATAGGAATGATAGGTGGTTAAGAACATGTAAGTGGATGAATAGTTAGAGCTGTAAACGAACCGAACGTTCGCGAACAAAAGCTCGTTCGTGTTCGACAAAAACTCGTCCGTTTGTTAATCGAGAAGAGTTCGAACAAAAAATTAGACTCGTTTAATAATCAAACGAATACGAGCTCGTTTGCGAATGTTCGATAATGTTTGCGAACATTAATTTAATATAATTTTATTTTTTATATATATTTACATAGTATTTTTAATAAAAAATCTAAAATATAAAAGTATTTTTATTTTTATTTTTTTATTATTTTCGACTTCGAACGACAAAATTTCGAGTTAATCAAACATATTTAAAAGTTTATGTGTTAAATTAATTAAATATGAACGAACTCGAACTTTGACGAACGAGCTCCAACACGAGTTTTTGCTCGAAAAATAAAAGAACGAACACGAGCTCGAACAGCCCAAGCCCGGTTCGGTCCAGTTTGTTTACAGCATTATGATAGTGAATTAAAGTTGATGTGATGTGTGCGGATGATTTGTCTATATTATTTAATTATATTGATAATAGTGACAATTGTAAGACTGGGTTTGATTTTGAGTTATAGTGACTCAACCTGTCAAAATTTCTTTTTGCTAGTTTTTACTCTTTCCCAATCAAGCCTTAAGGTTTGAATTTGACTCGTTAATATCGAGAACAAGTTAAGCTCGTGTTTATTTATCGGTCCATTTGGCTTGATAAAGGTTGGAATTCCAACTTGAGTATCATGAGTTTGAGCTTAGCTTGACTTGTTTACAATTTGTAATGTGTGAAACTTTAAATAAAACTTATAGTATACTTTTAATTGTTTTTTGAAAACAAGACTTTTCTTTTTCTTTTCAACTTTTTTA